AACAGACAGGAGGAAGAGAGATGGAGCAAAGACAGGATCAGTCAGCGGGGGGGCAAAATCTGTAATACCCTCATCTTCTGTGGTTTAAAAGGATGTAAAAATAACTCAATTAGAGTACAGTGATTAATACTTGAGCCAAACTAAACTCTGAAAAGAGAGTCTGTATTTACTTTAGTTTAATTAACTTAATGTTCCCACACACTCATTTCATTAGTTGCTCAATTCAACAGCAAAGGACTGCATGGATACAGAGAAAAGCCAAATCTACCTAGTAACTGATCCGGCTTCTAGAGACTCAAATACCCCCCGGATAGTGAATCAGATTATTAAGATAATCAGATTGCCCCTCTTTTTCAAACAAAAGTTACTTAAGAAATTAAAAATAAAACGATGGGAATCAAGAAAGACAGACAAGCCGTTCGGTAAGTGTCACAAAGAAAAGTTGGTCGTAAACATTTTGTTTCTAAAGATGCTATCAGAATTACAAAGGGATTGTTTCAACGATGTGATAAGATGCACTGCGTTGCAATATATGCAATATGATACGAATGTGATACGCTACGCCACACTACGGTGCGATGTGAAAATACTTTTATGTGATGAAATCAACAAGGACAAACATAACACTACAATCACTGAAGTGAAGACAATGTGTTTAAGACTCTTTAATACACATTTAATCCGGGATTACCTCTCCATTTTCAAGATTGATTGGAGCACAAAAGAGCTCTTTGCAGGCTTACAGGGACCCTGAATCTGCTTCGATGGCAACAATTCATTTTTGCTGATCAGTCGGAGACAATGTGGTCGGCAAGCCTCAGTATATTATGTTAGGTTGATTTATGGAGTTATGTTAAGCGTTGACCAACAATCTTTATGCAGATTTTCAATTCGTTGAGCCGTTGACTTTAAAGGTCCCCTATTATACTGTTTTTCATCAATATATTATAGGTCTCAGATATATACAAACATTTCTCTAAAGTGCTTGGCTCCAAACACCAAACAGATCATTGCAGCATTACCCATAATCCCCTCTGTTTCAGCCCTGTTTCCAAAGTGCTGATTCTCTGTCTGTTACTTTAGATGAAAATAAGGAGCCCCTCCCCACGCCCCTCTGAGAGAGATTTGGTTACAAAGAACACAATGGTGCTCTAGTAGGAGATTCAGGTGATAAGGGGGGGGGTTACCTTGGTTGCTGATTGGCTAATGGTTATATAAGACAAAAAATCGTTATGACATCATAAAGTGGCCAAAATCTGATCAGCTCATTTTCAGACAGGTTTTTATATAAATGGATCAGGACAAAAAGAGAGAGAATCTTTGTTCCTGAAACTTTCAGAGTCTCTTTCCACAGAGGGGACACATGTTGATGTAGAAGAGACATGAAGAAGAGGGGACACATGTTGATGTAGAAGAGACATGGAAAAGTGGATTTTGTATAATAGGTGACCTTTAATCTTATAATACTGTAAATCACTCAGAATCACCGATGTTAAAAAACAGACTCACGTTGCAGCAGTTGAAGGCCAGCTGCAGGAAGTCGGGCGGACAGTCTCCCACCATGTGCTGGAACGTGTGATAGTCCAGGCCGAAGTTCTGCAGGAGGGGAAAGAACACGGAGAGACGGACAGATGTGGATATATGAACGTTAAACAGGAAATTGGTATTTATGATTCTAGAAGTGGGATAAAGACAGAGATGGACAGAGCGTCATCAGATGTTTGACATCCCACAACTCTCCTGCCAAAACCCGCTCTGTGTCAAACTAATCCCTCGGACACGGCCCCGCTGACTGCCAAGTTCGCATTTCGTCCAATAAAATATTACAAAACACAGGCTGTGAGATGGAGAAAATGCTCAGCTGGTTTCAAAAAGGACGTTTTATATAGAAAGACACACACACAAAAATATCCAAAGGGTATTCGTGCAATTAAGTGTATTTTTTCAAGCCATTGATATTTGAATGATTATAAAAATGTGCCTCTTAATAGCAATAGCCCACATTTGTAAAAAATAGTTTTAAAAAGGCTCCTTTAAGTTCAGTTAATAAATGATTGTGATGTGTATACTAAGCAGCAAAATTGATTAACAAACCCCTCTCTGTTAGATGACATTTCCACAAATACTAATATATACTGTATTTTATAAGATATAATGGATATATATAATATCTGCCAGACGACAAATATTACCCAGGTTGTGTTTATAAAAATCAACCCCCTATTCTTGGAGAATCTAAAAAACCAAAAGTACTCTAAGCTCCTCAGAGTCATGTGAATGTTGCACAGCATCAACAGGGTGTGAGTTGTCATGTGACACCAACAGATCAAGCCGTGTACAAAGCAAACATGCAGAAGGAGTGATCACAGGGTGAGGCATGGGTGAGAGGAGGATGAGAACTCACCTCTGTGCGGGGGAGGAAGTCAGGGTCGGCCTGCACCCTCGCTATGATCTCACACAGGACGATCCCATAGGAGAACACGTCGGCCTGGAGACAGATACACACACACACGATGATGACACGAAATCAACAAAAACATCTTGTTGATATAACGTGAAACATTTGTGCGGATATTATTCAAATCGTACCAAACGTTCTGACCTCTTCATTTGCAATATCTGTCTGTGTTTCAACAGATAATTTCCATTTATCATCAGAGTATCATTGCTTTCAAGTACATGTTATTTTCCTTTTATTATTTAACTACTTTAATAGTAATCCAGAAAATTCATACAGACAAGGTACAACATAATAAGTTAGTTAGTTAGTTAGTTAGTTATAGCTGGAGGGCAGAAAGTAATAATAATAATATATTCTTAAAAAAGGCTTATTAAGAAAATAGCCCTCCAGTTATCCAATCACATCGCTCCTGGTCAAGACCTCAAACGTCACGGCAACATAACTACGAACGTCATGATAAACATTCTCCAAACCATAGGAAAACAACAATTAAAACAGAAAAAAGTATATCTTTCAAGTCTCAAGGTAGGAATCCAACAAAGACAACCACAGTTTAAGTTGAAAACAGAAGTAATTGAACCTTTTTTGAGATTATTATCTTCACCATTTTAGCTTATTTCACTAATTGCCACTTTAGTTTGGAGGTGAAAGTGTGAGACTACCTTCTCGTTGTAAGGCTCGTCTCTCAGAACCTCTGGAGCCATCCAGAAAGGAGAACCAACCACGGACAGTTTCTCCACCTCAGCACTAAACACACACACACACACACACACACACACACACACACACACACACACACACACACACACACACACACACACACACACACACACACACACACACACACACACACAGATTATGAACAACAGGTTAATGCATTTGGTCTATGGTTGAATAAGAAGCCGTTAGAGACGGATGATTAATCTTCAGAAGCTTTGAGTCGACTCGTGAGCTTTGTGTTTGTGGTGAGGTAGTGGAATAAAACTGTGTAGGAAGAGAAGACTTGACGTTCATTTGTTGAGAGCGTTTGTGGGAGTGTGTGAAGGAATGTCTTTAATCTGCCTCTGTCATGTCAATAGGAACGACCTGATAGATAAAAGGAGCCGATGAGCACACTCTGTTCTGGCTTTTCTTAATCAAAATGACCCGCTTGCTCTGTGAATTCAACCTAGTATGAACACATCATTGGAGTTTCAAGTTTTACCAGTAAGAACGACTGCTGTCTCGATAGGTTTTTACAAGTCGGTTTAATGACTCCTAATCGCTAATCCTTTAAATTCAGAAGCTTTTTAATTGTATGGATTACGTTTGGGTGAGACCAGTTTAATATCAAATCTGTGTGCAAAGCAGATGTGTCACCTCCTAGTAAACCCAACCTCCTTATACATAGTACACGTAATAGGCGTGGCTACATTCAGTGCATTATTCCTACATGTCTACCAAGCAACATACACGAGGTGTAGTGGAGTATATATATTCACATTAGGCTAAATCGCATCAACTCTGCTCCTAAAGACATTTCAGAAAACGATCTCCCCCGTCATTACGCTCGTTCACCGATAGCATCCCCCTGTTATCAAAACACTAAGGTTGAGAATGTGAACTCTACAGCCTGCTATTAATGCCAGTGCCAGACACGTGTTAATAAATAACCGTGCGCCTGGCATGAGGACGAGGAAGACTCTCACACGGAACAAAAACATCGCAGAACAATAACAAGCGCACCTTGGTGAATAATTGATCAAATTAGGAACAATTAACTACTTTAGCATTTAGCATTAACATAATTAACAACATCATGAATGCCAAAACTATTTTTATGAGAGTTGTTTTGGAGCGACAAAAATGGTTTTGCTGGTAACGTTTTGATCACTAGAGGGCAGATCAAATATCAAAAAAGTTCAATACTTGATTAAATTCACAACACTAGATTATTCAATTATTATTCTTTACATACAACAATGGTCTTGTCACACATGAAGCAGACATACAGTAGCATTAGCATTTAGTTGAAGTCGTGTTTCACCACCTCACAACTCCTATTTTCACTTTACTAAAACAAATATATGGGCTTTTTTTAACTGCTAAATGCTCAAATTAAACGTTGGGACATGGACTAGTTTTCTGTTTACTGTCTGTTGATTGGCAGGAAGTTTACAACACGTGGGCCCTCAGGAGCTGGTTAACACTTGGACCTCAAATGAAGACTAATGGCGCATTTCCACTGCAGCGGGTAGCCGCGTTTAAGCGTCCTTAATCGTTCTCAAGCGGCCAGGTCAGTTTTTGGTGGCCTTTCCATATAGCGTAGCACCGGCTAGCGGGTACTTTTTTCCGGCCCCATAAAATCGTGGTTCTATCAGGCCAGGGCCAGGGCTGAACTAGTGACGTCAACACTCTCGACTGCTGATTGGTCAGAGAGAATCGTCACAAGATCGCGCGCGAAATCATCCCTAGCGTCGCATATATATCTAGAAGCAAGCTTGCAGCATTTTTATACACAGTTCCTACATCTCATTGGGGAGGATAAAATCCAGCGGGAGCTCGACGGAACAACTCGAAATGTGAAAGTGTTCCAGGATGTCTCTGCACTGATGCCCCGCCTACACTGCGTTGCTACCCCAGGTCCTAAACTGTAATGGAAATGCGCCACGGCCTCGGACGGCCAGCGAGACAGCCGGAGGCCTG